GTTGCTGAAACATTTTTAATGAATACCTGCATTTTAGTAGATGGCTCATTTTATTTTGAACAGTATTTGTCTACTGGCCAGCACACTCTAGAAAACTTATTAAGGAAAAATGTGCTTTCTGGCAAGATTCAAACCTGTGTCCCCCTTTGCAGGAGAAACCACTATTTGATCTGGCATGCTGTAACCACTCAATTATGAAGTGCTTCACAATCAAGCAAGGTTCGATTTGCCTTTCTCCTGCTGGAGAGCACATTTTCTCCAATAGGTTTTCTTGAGTATGCAGGCTGATAGATGAAATAATATTGCTTAAAATAAAATGGAGTGTCTACCCAACTATCGACTAAAATAATGTTTAAAGTAATAAAAATGTCAGATTAAAAAATAAAATCCATTAAATCTTTAGAAATATATTACAGTAATATATTTTTATCACTTTAAACATTATTTTTAGTAGGCACTATTTATTAAATAGTATATATTTCTTTGCTGCAATAAAATATATATTTTCTGTTTATATGTTATTTTTATAGATACTAATATTTAAGTAAATTCTCTCTTTATAATAAACAGTAATAACAACATTTACTGGCCTGAATGTCTGAGAAATTTCATAGAAAATATGTGACCTTCAACAGGAATTGAACCTGTATCCTACACAGATTGTACATCAAGCTAAATGATGGTTCCATGGAGGATACATGTTCGAGTCTTGTCAGAGAACACACATTTTCTATGAAATTTCTCAGACATTCAGACCGGTAAAAGTTGTTAATACTGTTAATTGTAAACAGAGCATGAAGAGCAAAACTTAAGGAGAGAGGACCATAAAAGAATAGGAATTTAGGAGACAGAAGAGAGAAGTACAATAGAAGAAACTATTAGTATAGAACTTACAGTTACATCTAGCAATTACAATTGCAAAGTGATGTGACCTATCAAGTACCGTGCTTTAAATACATAAAGTCAAGATACAAAAGAGGAAAAATTATTATTACCATGTAAATATTTATAGAAAAAGTAAAAGGGGGTTGTGTTAAGCTGTTAGGAAAGTTAACTGAAGATGAGATGCTGGACCAGGATTGATAACATTGCAGATTCTTCTTTGGATTTTATCAATCTCTAAATACATAGCAAAAGCATCAGAGCAGATGTGATAGCAATATTCAATGCAAAGACAAATGGTTGACTTTTAAATGTCTAAGATAGATTTTGGTGAGAAAAATTGTTTAGCATGTCACAGTGAACTAACCTTCCTAGCATCAGGCCGAGCAATTGATTCAATATAATCATTCCACTTCATGTCAGTGGAACATGTTAGTTTGAGAAGTTGCAACAAGTCATTGTCTTAGAGTTTTAAAAAAAATGGTTGAAAGACTTATAAAGATTATATAGAATGTCAAGGAGCCCATATTAACATGTAAAATAATTTATTTATATATATATATATATATATAAGTAATACAAATTGGTAATTAGTAGGGATAATCCCAAGGAGGACATTAATCCAAAGAGAGCTCAATGTAAGTAACAGAGCAATATAGTAATAATAAATTATTAATTCTTAAAAATCTATTTCAGTTATAATTTATTTCATGAATATATTTATTTAAATATTCATCTCTTCAGACCGAAGATTTTTTTTTAGAAATCTAAAAATTTAAATTGAAGGTTTTTTAGAAATCTAAAATAACCTTCAGTCTGAAGAAATGAATATTTAAATAAATATATTCATGAAAATAAATTATAACTGAAATGGAATTTAAAAATTGTCTTTACTTATTATTATATATATATATATATATATATATATATATATATATATATATATATATATAAACGTCTAAAACATACTATCCAGCCGGGCTAAACGATAAATTTAACAATTTAGATAGTACTAATATATAACTTTACAAATCAAAACCTACCCACATTTCTCACCCACACAAGACGGACATGGTATGGAGGTGTTGAGGCCTCACACTTATACACACACCCACACATCATACTCACTCACTTCCTAATAAGCCAAATGATAACACACCCACAGCAATACACACGCTTACACATATACTCACTCACTCCCTAAGAACCAAATAACACACACACACAAACACTTAACAGAGACACATCCCCTCTCCAGGACCAAACTGTCAAACTGACCATGGGAATTCAGAGAAGCATAGATCCATCCAGCTCTTATCTCAAATAACAACTTAAAAGAGACTGTTTGACCAACACAAGGAATGTTAAAAGATTCATGTTAAAAAGATAAAAAAATTAAAAAAAACAAATGAAAACTACAGACAAAAGTTCATTTTCTCCATCAAGACATTAATTTCTCTAGTTTACTGCTACCAGCAAGCAGAAATATTTCTTCTCCTAATGATGGCCATTTTGGCCGAAACTAGTCGAGGAATCTAAATGAAATAATAATAAAAAAAACAAAAGAATATTAATCTACAACCCAGTGTGTCTGAAGATTTTAATTTTTTAATATTTTTTTTTATTGTTCAATCTATAAATAAAAAGCAACCTACTTCAAATCAAAACATACAGCCATGATGATGGTTGATAACAACCGAAAGTGCTCAGCAAAAAATCAAGGACTGTTTTTTTTTTTTGTTTTTTTTTAACAATTTAGACCCAAATATAATGAAACTTGCAAGAAAAAACAGAAAGATGTAGTCTTTAATAACATGCCTCAAAACATATATATATTGTATTACTCAAATATATTTGTTTGGATTTAATTAGAAGTAAAAATTTGTTTGCATAATAAAACTTGTCACCTCCCCCATAGGCAAACAAGTTAGCAATATTTTTTTATTATTAATGATTGATATTTTAAGCAGAAATGTAAATGATATGCTGAACATATAAACATACAGTTGAACCTCTTCAATCTGGCATCCTTGGTCCACTGCCAGGCCAAAAAAGATGCCAAATGATAGAAAACACCCTTTTAAAAAAAAACCGTATGAAAGCAGTCTTGGCAGCTCATTTGACATGTATTGCTGTGTCATCAAAGGTAGAACAAAGTCTAAAACAAGAAATAAAACCATCATTAATGCTTCCAAACAAAGTTTTTATTGTTTCATGCAATAAAAGACTTCTTCATCTGCACTTTCTACTCTTTTGGGTGACATCCTGAATGCAACTATATATAAGGAATGACCAAGATCGTATCCCAAAAACACTCTGATGTTGTCGTTTACTGCAGAAATATGTAAACAACATGTGGTGTTGTTCTTGTAGCCAATCAATAAACTAATGGGGGCTGATTTTAAAAAAAAAAAAATGCAAAACCACAGAGTGCCAGACTGTATCTTGAGGTTGGACTATCTTGAAACTTTTACCAATATTGATTGATTATGCCAGTTTTATATTAAAGACATTGACTTGTATAATAAAATCTGACATAATGTACATGAGTGCATGTATATATTTGGATAAACATGTTGACAGACATAAAATTCTAACTGATAATTTCACATTTATCTTAAGGTCTTTTAAATTATCGTTAGTCTACATAGTGGATGTTGAACAGATTTTTAACATTGGTAAGAAGTTAGTTTATATACCACCACCATGATGGGTGATAACGAGTTAGATACAGGTGCTCCATTAAGACAAATATTTGGGAGGGAAGTTCTTTCCTCAGCACTTGTTCTTTGGCAAACTAATTTTGTATCGAACTACGTCCATTAGCTAAACAGATACACCAGGAATAGTATGACTTTTGGATGGCATATAGGCAGTTTGCCAAATTGTTAGTAGGGGATCAGTTTTTACTTGCTAATTCCAAAGTTCATCAAATATAAGGCTCGAAAGCTACTCAATGTAGAGAGTTACTATCAACATGGTTATGATGTATTTTATGAATAAAAAGAGATGCTAAATCATTATGTGGCCCATATAAATTTAATTACAACAGATTTAATAGTAGAAGAACATGAAGCCTACAAAAATGAACAGAAGAGTTTCAGAATGCCAAATCTAGTTTTCAATAGTTTCCTTCCTTCTCAATCATGGTACAAGGTTTAGTCTAAAAGTAATACTTGTTCTTCTTTAATGATAACACATCTAAAAGAAGTATATAAAATAGCAAAATGAACACAAGAGAATCATGATTCCAAATCTAGTTCTCAACATAATCTTTTTCCTTTCTATTTCACCTTAATAAAAAAGAAAAGTGACAAAAATACTTTTATAAAGTAAGTTAATAGAAATATTCAGGTCTGATTATAGTTTAATGAAAAACAGTTATGGTAGAAAGATTTAATCTCCCATTTGTATTTCCCTCATTATGGGCATTATTATATCCATGATAGAATAACACTGTACTTTACAAATGGAACAGAATAGCTGAAAGGAAAAAGAATGACAGACATGTTTTATTCTCAGAGAGACCTTTCTATCACTAACACATACACAAAACTATATATACAAGTGTTCCATGTGGAGAATAATATATCACATATCTATACAGCAAAGCAAAAAGTAAGAAGAAACAAAAAGGAAGAGTCTTACATAGAGTCTGGAGCTACTCTTGTGTCTGGAGAAGCCATTTTTATGACTCCAGATTCAAATGGGCTGGATTCGTCTATGTTCTAGGTGAGGATATATTTTACAAACAGGGAAAGAGCAAGTCTTGGGTTTTCCCAAATTGACTGAAAGCTGGAGTTTCTTTCTACCTCTGGGAAAAATGTATTCCCAAAGGGGAATGGCACCATGGACCTGTAAACCACTAGAGAGACATATTTAGCTCAGGCTAAAGAAAGCAATGTAGCTGCTGTAAACAAACTGAATTTGACTGCCATTTTCATCACTATATGGAATGATCTCACTAAGCAGTTGGGATGTGACCCACATAACTTATCCATACCAATAGTATATAAAACTGCATTATATAGAAAAACCAACTGCTTAGCCAAATAATGAAGCATAAGAAACTATAATCAAGGAGAAACCTTGTTCTTAAGATAAGGCAAAAATCCTACCTCAGTATGTGGATTTACCCCATGCAAAGGTGGGGCAGATGGTATAGTTTGTGGACATGAATTTTGAGGTGGGTAAGGAAATCCTGGATTTGGGTTGAAATTCCCTTCAATTGGAGAGGGTGGTTGGTCATCTTCATCAATGTTAGACACATCCATTTCACCACTGACCACTTCAATCTCCTCGTTACTATCTGGGTGCACTTGAAAAAAGAAAATTGAATTAAATTTCAATTTTAAATATTGAATTTAAAAAATTTGAAGTTTGAAATAGGTATATAGATTTGATTTTATACATAGAGTTCTTCAGAAAATGTTACATTTTTTAAGACAATAACAGTATTCAAATGTATACAGAACATTTAAAATGTAATGCTTTTTCTAATTGTTTTTTGTTTGTTTTTTTTTGTGTGTGTGTCTTGAAAAGCAAGGGATAAATTTGTGGAGTTACCTTTTCTTGCCTTTTACCTATAATCCTCTTTCAAAATGGCTGCCCCTCTAGAAAGATGTATAATGCAAAGAGCTATCATAGAATTTATAGTCTTTGGAAAGAGAAGGAACTGCAAATATTTACAGGAGGATAGTAAATGTTTATGGAAAGGCTGTGGTTAATGTAAGTACAGTAAAGATGTGGGCCAATAGACTTAATGGCAATCTTATAGAAAAAAGAGAAACTGACTTTCTGAGAGACCCCTTTCTGACTTCTGATGCTAACCTCCAGGAGAGTGACTCATTGTGCTTTCTCTGGTTAACATTTTACGGGAACATGAAATGGAAAGATTATATTGAACGTTGTAGTAAAGAAAAGACTGTCAACTTATAGTTGCAACTGCAATAGATTTCTTCTGTTTCTCAACCGCAACACTTGTAGCCAAATTGCAGTTCAAATGCCGTAACAGTCCAACAAACAAAGTAGAAATGACAAAATGTGGTCACACATATCACAAGCAAAAAACGTGTGTTCTGCCCACCAGCAAATCTTCTGCCTTTATAAGCAAAAAACAACAGCTTTGGTTCATCAAAAGATCTTCCTGATTGATCACGCCATTCAGGGGAGGGGAGAACATTAGCACAGATTCTAGTCATTGAAGTAGATTTTTGCTAACTACTTTTTGTAATTTTTCTTCAGTAGATCGCACACAGAACACAAATTTTTTTTCGGGGTAAATGATTATCTCTTTCATTACACTCTCCCTTGTCACATAAGTGACACTCAGGGGCGGGCCTCTTTATTCTTGAGCTTCTCCGGAGTGGGCTGACTGTTGGAGGGGATTGTGTGGTATGTTCTGAAGACTGGACTTCTGAGGATTCTTCTGATGTCACAACCTCAGACATAGTCTTCGCCCTCTGATGAATGTTCTGAAGATTCGTCTTCTGAGGATTCTTCTGATCTGACAACCTTATGCACAGTCTTCGCCATTTGAAGAGGCGCTAGCCCTACCTCTGATGGTTATTATTCGTTCACTTCCTGAGCACTCACTGCTAGTGTCATTTGTTGCTGAACCTACATAGTGACACAAGTCTTACGTGTCTTGGTATTCCATCAACCAGCACAGAGTGCAAGTTACTTATTCCAGTGACATGCCCCACCTGGTACCGAGTTGTACACCGACTATGTGGAGCCTTCCTAAACGATTATCTCTTTCACTACATATTGAATCAATTGCTACATAAAGTCGGTTCACTATGTCGTGCTAGACAATTTTTCCCATCAGAATCTTAACTATCTATAAATCTACCATCGACTCATTCTTAGAATACTGCTGTTACATATGGCCTGGTGCTCTTGCAATTTATTTAGAGATTCTTGATAAAATCCAAAGTATAATCATAAATATTATTGGTCCTGACCTGGTGTCTTGGTTTCAGTTACTTTCCCACTGGCACAAAGTTACTTCCCTGTGCCTTTTCTTTAAATACTTTCATGGCAATTGTTCTTATGAGCTCTTTGCTATGGTACGAATTTAAGTGCAGTACTACATTGGCAACAAGGTCTCATCATTTTACAGTTGAATTGGCTAGATGTAACTGTAAGTTCTATGCTAACAGTTTCTTTTTACAGAGTTTTCACTTGTGGAACTCTCTTCTGCCTACATGCTTTCTGGTCAAGTTTGATATTCAAAAATTTAAATGCAATGTTAATCATTATCTACTGTTTTCCTGATTAATCTTCTTTTGTTCTCACCCCTTTGTAATGTTTTCTGTTTTCTAATTATTTCACATTCAGTAACCCCTTGTGACTTAGTGGCTTGACTGCCTTAAAATTAATTTAAAAAAAAAAAACTTGCTTAGATGAATACTTGCTCTTTAAATTTAACTTAGTGCATAAAAGTAGGCTCTGAGGTCAGCACCGAGTAGCGACAGCCTGTTTCATCATGCATGGAACAGACGGTACCTGATCAGTGTTGACCTCAGTGACCACTTTTATATTTACATATGCTCTTTCTCTTATATTGAGCACTTTTACCAATAAATATAGCATACCTTAAAAGTATATTTTATCAAATTTGCTTTGATAAAGTCTATCAAAGGACAAAATGCACCAGTTAAGTTTGCCCTTTATCTTTATTCATACATACATACATATACACACACACATACACACACACACACACACACACACACACACACACACACACACACACACACACACACACACACACACATATATATATATATATATATATATATATATATATATATATATATTGCTTAAATATTATTTTTAATGGATACTTGTATTTGAGTAGATGCTCCATTTATTTATTAAACTGTATATTTACTTATTTTCATCTACTGAGAAAAATCTGTTTAAAGACACTAATCAGCTTTTATGGGTCATCAACTCGTTCTGCAGCCAGCAGGTCAAAGCATGTCAGATTTAATGACAGTTTCCCCGAGGTGAATGCAGGTTCAAGTTCTGCTGGAGAATGCATATTTTTCTCTAAGATTTCTCAAATATTTAGGCAGCTAGATAAAAATAAATAAATATACTGTTTAAAAAATAAATGGAGCAACTACTCAAATATGAGTATCCAAAAAAATAAAAAATAACATTTAAGTAATAAAAATTTGTAAGATTAATAAATAAAATATCCATTTTCTTTCTTTACAAATTGTGTGTGTGTATATATATATATATTTATTAAAAACATTTTTATGTTTAACGTTCTTTTTTATAGATACAAGTATTTAATTTACTGCTTATAAACTTCAATCTTCCATGAATCTCGTACATTCATAACTGCTCTGGCATATCAAATGTAAACAAATGACGTCATATATTAAGAAATGAACAAAGTCCGACAATTTATTTATTAAAGACATTTTTATGTTTAACGTCCTTTTTTATAGATACAAGCAGTATATTCGACCTTGCCTACCGAACGCTCCTTTGTGGCCAAGTCGGTTAAGGCACGTCAGCGTAAATGACAGTTCTGTATAGGATGCAGGTTCGAATCCTGTCAAAGGACGAATATTTTCTATGAAAATTTCTCGGACATTCAGGCCAGTAAATGTTATTTAATACTGTTTATTATAAACAGAGCATTTACTTAAATACTTGTATCTATAAAAAGAATGTTAAACATAAAATGATTCTTTAATAAATAAATTGTCAGACTTTGTCCATTTCTTAATATATATATATATATATATATATATATATATATAAATAAATAACCTCTGACATAACTTAATTGAATTGAGAGCATTTCAGCATCCCCTTATTCAATAGCCTTATTCTGTCATTATGGCTAGGACCCACCGTGCCACTTACATTGTAGCAAACCACCCACATTCCTTCCGTATTCCATTGGTGAGAAGTAAGTTCCACTTGAACAGCTTTTTCCTGTGAACCACTGCTTTGTGGAACAGACTCCCAAGAGGATGTTTGCCCATTCACTACAATCTTAACCTGTTCAAGTCTAGAGTTAACTGTTAACTTCAAGTTCTATAAACTACCCGTTAATGTAACCCTTTACCTTGAGTACCTTGTACAGGGTGAACCTTACTGTAAAAAAAAAAAAAGAAAAAAAAAAGAAAATCCCGACCACTGACAATCTACTTATTCCTGATTTTCAATGCCTCTTCTTATTAAATAACTTTCTACAGTAAAAATATTTATTGCATTTATGTTGTTAATGTAATAACTGTTTTCTACCAATAATACTTGTATTAATTCTAAACAATTCTTGTTTTTGAATTTCTGTAGTAAAATCATTACATTTAATGTTATTATTGTAATGAGTTGGTCGGTCAACTTGACACCCCCAAAGCGAGTGGAGGTGGGCAGGCGCGGTAACTGTGATTGGTAGCTGGCTTGTTGGTGTTTTGCATAGGTGAGTTACCAAGCTCTATGTAAAGGTCTGGAATGAGAAGGAGGGCAGTTTCAGTCTCAGAAGTGGAGACTGTGTCCATCGCTACGACAGCAGAAGAGAAAGAGACAAAATCATTTATTTTTTCGTGACACATTCCAACACGGCTCAATTCTCCCAGGAATGCTTGCATCATTGATTCCTGACCACTAGGAATTTCTTTTTACCTGATTGTGTGTCAGAATTTGCTCAGATATCAACAAAAAATTAAAAATTCATTGATTAAATGATGAAATTCCACTTTTAAGCATTAACGATTCTTAGATGATTTTTATTCATTCATAGGCTTATGAGCATATCACATTGAAACCCTGGTTCTCATATGATCACCAAAGTTAAGCAATTCTACACCCCCTGTGATTAAAACTGTCATTGGTTAACACCCTTTAAAACAAAAAGCTGTAATCTCTAAAAGTGATCATATGACGATATCATTTTGGAACATCTGTTCTGATCACCAAAGTTAAGCAATTCTACACCCCCTGTGATTAAAACCATCATTGGTTAACACCCTTTAAAACAAAAAGCTGTAATCTCTAAAAGTGATCATATGACGATATCATTTTGGAACATCTGTTCTGATCTGATCACCAAAGTTAAGCAATTTACACCCCCAGTGATTAAAACCGAAACCATTGGTTAACACCCTTTAAAACAAAAGCTGTAATCTCTAAAGTGATCATATGACGATATCATTTTGGAACATCTGTTCTGAACTGATCACCAAAGTTAAGCAATTCTACACCCCCTGTGATTAAAACCGTCATTGGTTAACACCCTTTAAAACAAAAAGCTGTAATCTCTAAAAGTGATCATATGACGATATCATTTTGGAACATCTGTTCTGATCTGATCACCAAAGTTAAGCAATGTTGAGCCTGGTGGGAGACTGCCTGGGAGTACCAGGTGCTGTAAGCTTAGATGTATGGAAGGATAGTTTAATGAATAATGGCTCCAAATTAGAAACATGGAGACTTGTGTTCCAATTCCAATTGGGTTCGTTATATTCATTTATGCACAAATACCCTTGAGAAAGATATGAATGCACCTCTTCTCTCTACAGCTATGAGTTCATTAATGACTTGCATCATTAAATCATTATCTTAAAAAAAAATTTTACATTTTGAAAATATTTTCTGGTTTTAAATAACCTGCAAAAGGTTGATAAGCTGTTAAAAAACTACTAATTCATTCATAGCACCATTATTAACATACATCTAAGATCAATATTTAACAAGCAAGGGTTAGTACAAAGTCCTCTGTCAGAGAAGCTGAAATGTACCATTTTGTATAAATTTATATATTATACCAACTTTTGAGTTCATATTTGCTTTATTTGTTGAACCATAAAATTTATAATCAAAATGTTGGTATATGCTTTGAATATTTGCTACATTTTTATATATATATATATATATATATATGAGAGAGAGATCATATATTTTGGCATCATGTTTTCATTAAGACATGTTCCATTGAATAAGTTAGACAAGTTTTGTCTACTTATTTTCAATAGGATCCTCTCATATTCATAAACAAGCTTCTTAGTATCCTTATTAAAGGAAGAGAGAAAATTACTATGTTGATTTATTCCAAGTACTGTCAACATTAGCACAATGTCATCATTAAGGTTGTGTTTTTTTTTCTAGGACAAATTGTTGTGTTCATCTGAAAGTTAAATTTTTTTAGCTGTGAAGTGAAAAATGCTAAGGTTACGTACTGTACAATTTTAAATCGAAGATCCTATTGAAAATAAGTAGACAAAACTTGTTTAAATTATTCAAAATATATAATATATACACGCAATTCTCCCATCAAGCAGATCAGTTCCTAGAAACCGACAGCCTAACCAGCATATGAGATTTGATTATAGTGGTGAAGGTTTTGTGCAGAACCATCCACCCTTTTTGAAGGGCCAAATACAGAGACCTGGTGCACTATGTGCCACAAGGTCCCCAAACGACCCTCCACAGGTTTTGAATTCAGATTTGTCCTTCTCATAGACCAGTTGCCATCCAAGGCTACAGAACCCAATCTGTCCTGGTATTTAGCCATAGCCTGAGGGAGAAGAAGAGGATTAATACCCTTCCCAAGGGTATTAATGCGTAAGTGAATGTAATGGATTTGACTGGAATTCAAACTCTTCGATTCTTCAATCCAAGTTGCTAGCCATTATTCCACGTGCATCCTCTCATATATATATATATATATATATATATATATATATATATATATATATATATATGTGTGTGTGTGTGTTTACACCCCATGCAGAGGCAGTAAACCCACTAAAACATAAGGGGTTACTGGGTGTGTAAGAATTAGGAACAGAATCATTAATAATGAACCAGAAAAGAGTAATCAGGAGGACAGTATATAGCAATTGACATTGCATTTAAATTTTTGCTGATTTAAAGTTAGTTGGAAAGCATGGAGATGGAAGGGAGTTCCACAAGCAAGAAGCATGAGATAACAAACTGTTAGTGTAGAATTTAAAGTTACATCTAGCCAGCTTAACTGTAAATTGATAAGATCTCAATGCTAGTCTAGTACTGAATTTAAATTCAAAAAGTCTAGGTACCATTGTGAAGAGCTCATTTGAACAATTCTCATGAAAGTATTTATAAAAAAGGCACACACACACACACATATATATATATAATAATTTTTTCATATAGACAAAAACAATTTACTCATAACAAAGATGCAACTTCGTTTCGGTGCATTTTGTTACACCTCGACATTTTAGTTCTCACCAGTCAAGATGCAACTAAATGTACCGAAACAAAGTTGCATCTTTGTCATGAGTAAATTGTTTTTGTCTATATAAAAAAGTTATAATCAATAATTATTGCTCTATTATCAGTATTGAGCCCTCTTTTGAATTAATGCAGTTAAGAGTCTGTCTATATTTCTGAGATGAGGTATTATGTACAGTATTTACATTATTCGGACTATTGTCTTCATCTTTGTCGCCATATTTGTCACAACGTTTCGGCCGTTGTACGCTCCCGCCTTCTTCAGGTGGTTGGAATTTCGAACTGAACCCTTTATTTCGATCGCTGGGGTAGACTGTTCTAGTTCCACGTGCCATGTTTGATGGATGTCAGTTATCAGTTATCTCCTGCTAATTTTCCCTCTGAAAGTTCTCCACTGCCTTAACCAGGAATGGAACTCACCTTCTTTGGGTCTGCAATTTTTTGCTGTTATCATTGCATGTCTTTTAGAGAAAAGCAATGATAACAAAGTTGCAATATGAACTCTGGTAAAGACATGCAATGATAACAGCAAAAAATTGCAATATGAGCACTGGTAAAAATGAGGCTGAAAACATTAGGTTTATAATACTCAAGTTCATACCCAGATGTCCTCAAGGACACATGGATAAGGGCGTTGGTTAGATCCAGTGACAGACCCAAAGAAGGTGAGTTCAATTCCTTAAGGCAGTGGAGAAGGTTTCAGAGGGAAAATTAGCAGGAGATAACTGATAACTGACATCCATCAAACATGGCACGTGGAACTGAAACAGTCTACAGGTATTTGAAATAAAGGGGTTCAGTTAAAAAATTTCCAACCACCTGAAGAAGGCGGAGCGCATAAAGTGGCCAACGACAGGGACAAATATGGCGACAAAAGATGAGGACAATAGTCCGAATAATGTAAATACTGTAATGCAGTTAACATTAAAATTTATATATTATTTTCGTTTCACAGTTTAAGCCATTTTTTTAAAATAAATCCTACCTATGATATCCCAAGTTATATATATATATATATATAAACAGCTTTTATTGATAATTATGTTCTGAAAAATGACATGACAGAGCAAAGTAATAATAATAATAATAAAAAAAAAAAAAACGCATTTTGTTTAATTTATTAATCAAATATAGATCATGAAGAATATTCTTTAGATTAACTTTTGCTGGTTACATTTTTATAGAATTAAAATTTTTAAAAAAATTGGTTTTTGTAATATAAATAAAAAGATCTGATAGAGAATCATTTAAGATATTAATAACAGGTACACATGCATATTCAAGTTAGCAGAAATTGCAGTTTAGATATTGTAGTGCAACTCACTAGGGTGGTCTGCACAATTCTCCAGCTCCTTGTCATGTGACATATGGTGATTATCTAAAGTGTTGCTTCTCTCATAAACATCCAATCGGCTTTCAGTGCCTTCACTTCTGGACATCTGTAAAAAGATAAATGTTTATATAGATACACAAAAATATCTTCTGTATAAAGAGAGTCCAATTATATTATTACATAAAATGCAAGCACATAATTGCAGGCCTCATAAAAATAGGGCATATGCATTATAATTATATTATATACGAGAGGGTGCTGAAAAAAGTTTCAGAGTTGACCAAGCCACCTCCACACTAATTCTGATTTTGGCTATTTGGGCAGATTTTGAAAATGTAGAGTAGGCCAAGAACTGTCTAGAAACCCCTTTATATATATATATATATATATATATATATATATATATATATATATATATATATATATATATATATAATTATTTGAAAAATATGATTCCATCGCTACATAAGAGTTCTCATGTTTCAAAAACGAGACGAAAACTTCAATATAATTATTTGAATTAAAGTACCAAGCTCTGTTCAATCTGAAATTTTTTTTGGAATAACTAATTCTTGAAATTTACGCGTTTTATAAGCATATTCATTATTAAAATTAAAATTGTTATGGTAACGGCTAGAGCAATTATTTAAAAAAAGGGGCGTAAGAGTTAATAATTTGTATCAATATCTCAGTTACAATTCAAAGAGGTCAAGGTTGGGGTGTCTAAATTCAAAGCGGAAGATGACATCGTCTAGTCTGGTTAAGTGTCTATGAAGATTTATTTATTTTATTTTTTTTTTATTTTTTTCCACTGAAAGGCTTTTGTGTATATAAAAACTGTCATAATTTGCTTACATTTGTTTTTTTGACGACTTCATAGATTTTTTTTTTTTTATTGGGTAGGGCATTTAAACTTTTTATTTAGACTATGGAATTTAAAATTTGTATTTATTATTTTATTGTTTGTATTTTATGCTAATTATTCAATGCGAAAATTTGATGATATCAGCAAAAACCATTAACATGTCATGTATATATATATATATATATATATATATATATATATATATATATATATATATATACATACACACACACACACACACATTATAGGCCAAAAGTTTTGAGTCACCCTCTGGATTTGGAAGAATTGCTTAAAATTGAAGTTTTCAAAACTAATTTACTAGCTCATTTTGAAGGGTAAGGGTCTTTCTCTTCCTGAGGGGTTTTATCATATATTTAATAAGGAAATTAACCCATTACCACATAAATATTCCCTAAAATTATAGTATTTGCTTAAACTACCATGCTGATGAAGAGCAGTCTTAGAGCTGGTGGATTTTAAACTACAAAATTGGGCACCATGCACCAATGGGCTAAATAGTTTCATCAACTTTGCTTCACAATCATGAAACCCATAGACGTATTAGTCATAGGAGCACCAATTGATAGCCTGACAGAGCCCAACCCTTACCAGGCTGGTTTTGAATTTAGTTTTTCCTTCTCTTAGACTGGTTACCACCCAAGGCTACAGGACCCAGCCTGTCCTGCTATTCACCCATAGCTAGGGGTAGAAGAGAAGGATTTATACCTTTCCCAAGCAAGTAAGTAAATATAATGGAATTGGCTCTCTGATTTCTCAATTTGAGCCGCTATCTATTCCCATGTCTCTGTAATGGTGTACACTATGTATGTATGGATGTGTAGCTGAGTTATTAGTGTTGCTTTCTGGGCATGAGACCTGAGTTCAAATCTCACCATTTGTTAAGGAGGTGGCTTATAATCTTACAGCTGGTGGATTTTAAATTTGGACACCATGCACTAATTCACTAAATAGTTACATCAACTTCATGTTTATGAACTCATAGGGGCACCACATGTACTGATGCAGCTGTAGGTGCCTTGTTAATGGGAGTGAGTTTGTGTTAGTGATTGGTGGGGGCGTCAGAAGGTCCCTACCAGAGACTGGCTTTGAAAAATACATAAATGAGCACTCTGAAGACAAGTACTTAGTTGCTGACGAAAGCCGTTAAAGGATGGTTTGACATAGTCTATTTCGATGTTGAGGTAATTTTTGTATTTTTGCTGTAATATATATATATATATATATATATATATATAATACCAAAATGTAATTAGTAGGGATTATTCCAAAGAGGACTTTTCAGTCCATCTGATACAGAACAATTTATAAGAATAATTAGGAAAAAAACTATAAAAATCCATAGTAATAAATTTATTTCAGTGGATATAAGCATATTATTCTCATCAGACTGACTACATTTTATGAAATCTCTCTCTCTCTCTATATATATATATATATATATATATATACACACACACACACACACACTCAAATGGTAAATGTGAAAAAAACTCTTAAATAACTCCTGGTGATAAAACACATTGCTTAGGAGTTTTCCTATTTTGTAATTCAATTACCTACTATTATTATTATTATTATTACTATTATTATTGCTTACTATTGTTCTCATAGTTGTTATTGTTATCACAACATTTCGTCCATTGTACTCCCTGGCCTTCATCAGGAGTATCTTGACCTGGGTAATATGTGGACAATAGTCCCATGTAAATAATAATTCCCCATGACAAATTTTAGTCAGATGCACAAATTTGTATATCATATCTTTTTGTGTGTGTGTAGAATGGGAATGGTCACTTGGAAAGTGAACCATAAATCGGTAGATATTGGTGACAGTAGAGCAATAGATAATCTTTCACATCTTGTAGGTTCTCGCATGTGCTGTGAGTCCGACATATGAGAGACATGCAATGTGTTTTTTTTTTGTTTTTTTTTTCATATCAATGACTGAAGAGGGTGTGGCAATCAGCAGAGGTGTCAACCTTACAGGGTTGCTTCAACTTCCTATTTTTATTTATTTATTTTTTTTTCAGCTTGATTCTTGTGCCTTGACATCACCCTGTCCTCTGCTTTTGTTTCACATTCATTCAGTTTGTTCATCTGCTGGTACTTCCCAAGAATTGGGTAAAAGGAATGGCAAACTTGGTCAAGAATCTTGTAATCAGTTACTATTCTTCAGTTCTTCACAGAGAAATTGCTTTGCCATTCTTTCATTGTGTTATCTTCCTTACATGTCCAAGCGATGCTTTCATATTCTGGTCTCTATGGATACAGCATTAGCACAAAGATGATCTTCATAGTAACTTTGTCTTGCTCACAGATTTTCAACTTCAAGCAAAGTTTTTTTTTTTTTTTTTTTTTCTGGTGAATTTATTCCAGTGAGGGGATATGTCATTACCATAGGATCTCTGCTTTGCATTCACATTATGTAAAGAAGCTGCAGGTGGTGTAATGGTAAGTGACTCAGAATGAGAAATCAGAGGGCCATGTTCAACATACAGAAGATTTTGTTATGTTCACTTACATGCAAATCCCTTTGGGAAAGGTATGAAAGCATATCTTCTCCCCCAGATGTGGGTTAAATAGTTGGACTTGTATCTGTAAAACTTATTATCTCCCAAAAATTGTTAATGTAATATTCATAAAAAAATTATTTTTACAATACAAAATACATTTCGGCTTTAAATAACCCATAAAAGGTTGATAAGCTATAACAAAAGAAATCTATTATATATATATATATATATATATATATATATATATATATATATATATATATATATATATATATAATATGACCACTTGTATATGAGGATGCTCATCTATTAGTGTGGCTAGTCAATCCCTGTTACAGATGCCTGTTATACCTGTTTTTATTTCCTTAAACAGTGAAATTGATAACAACTGGCCTAGATTGAAATGTTACACTAAAGAAGTTGGCATATATTAAAAAGAAGAGAGAAACCACAAATGTTTTTGGTTGTAATGTGGATTTTTTTTAAAAAAAATATATTATGCTTTATTTTCCATAATTTTGCTACACGGGTTTCCGGTTTTGCGACCTTCATAAGGCAAAGTGTGGAGATTTCCACATATTATTAAAAATAATTCATTTTCTTATGTTTTTCAATGTTAAATATTCTTGATATGAGACATTCTCTTTTTTGTGTTAGTGACCCAAATGTCTTCCTGAATTGGCAGTGAAAAAGTTCTGCATGAAGGGTTATAAAACAATTAAAATTGGTCCGAGAAATGGTAAGAGTTATCAGCATTCTTATCTTTTAATGAGCCCTGTGTGTTCTTAGAACTATTTCCATTTTTTTTTTTTTTTCATTTTTTTGTGTTTTTGTCAGCATCCATATATATATATATATATATATATATACGTATATTCCCTTTACATACATACACACTTTTCGAATACACAGTTATCTGTCCTCCCTCTCTCATCAGAGCCATTTGAAAATAAAAATGTGTACAATGACTAGAAATGGTAGGGTGTTATTGTACATGTATAATCTGTCATACAATAAGAAAAATATTGTGATAAGGACATAGGAATCAACTCTACATAGTGACTGTCAGTTTCACACCTCACGGGATCTTTGAATCTGGTGTCTCTACTCTTTTTGCAGGCTCTATGTATAGACGACAGGGGTAGGGGTAGGGATTAAGGAAAGTGGGGGAAGGAAGAAACCAACTACTGTACTATATACAACCATACAAACTTTCCTTAATCACCCAAAGGTTTATATATATAAAGCCTGCAAAAGGGCAGCAACAATTGGTCTGAAGATTACTTGAGGCATGAAACTGACAGTCACAATGCAATGTTGATCATAATATATATATATATATATATATATATATATATATATATTTTGCATTTGATCAATTTTTTTCAGTTATTCATTAGATTATTAGAAGATGCAATTTTACTAGTTTTATTTTAAAAATATTGAAACAAATCATGTTAAAAGTGGAAAACCCTATAGCTTGATTGCACCAGGTAAAAATGGGATAAAAATACTTGTTTTTAACTTTTTTATATACTTAAAAATTTGCAACACATTTGGCTCCGAGGAGAAATAAATGAGGAAAAAAAAACTTCAAACTATTAAATTCCATAACAGTTTAACACAGGAAAGTTCAATTATGCCAAAGAAAAATATTAGTAAAATAAAATTAAAAATACAATTTTTGATGGAAATTAAATTTTATTT